CTCATCGCTTCAAACAGCAAATTATCGAACTCCTCAGAACATAATTATATAAGCAATTATATAGGCCAAAGTCACAGTGCAATAAACATGAACATTATCTAGTGAGTGGTTTGAGTTGTAAAAAGTTGAAAAGGAACATTTGCATTGTGAATTTTTGAATCAAGAACATCATATAAACTCTCGAAGACCAGTCACTATCAAATTCAGTAAACGAGACAATGAGAATTGACAAATGCATAATCAATTTCGGAAACAAAAAATGTAAGTAAACAAACTCATCGCTTCAAAAAACAAATTATAGGACTCATCAGAACAGAGTTATAAGCAACTAAAACTAAACGTCTATTGAGTGGTGTGAGTTGTAAATTTGCATAGTGAATTTGAGAATCAAGAACATCATATAAACTCTACAAAGCCAGTCACTAGCAAAGTCACTCTACAAAGCCAGTCACTAGCAAAGTATAAGACTCATCAGAACAAAATTATATAAGCAACTAAGAGTAAACCTTTATCTAGTGACTGGTGTGAGTTGTATACAGAAAGATTGAAAAAGGAACAGTTGCATTGTGAATTTGTGAATCAAGAACATCATATAAACTCTACAAGACCAGTCACTAGCAAAGTATAGGCCGAATCAGAACAGAATTATATAAGCAACTAAGAGTAAACCCTTTATCTATTGAGTGGTGTGAGTTGTATAAGATTAAAAAGGAACATTTGCATTGTGAATTTGTGAACCAAGAACATCATATAAACTCTACAAAACCAGTCACTAGCGAATTTAGCAATCAAGACAAAGAGAATTGACAAATGCATAAAAATTTCGGAAACAAACAAAATGTAAGTAATCACATCTTAGAGCTTCAATTGCACACACTATGACCAGAAAAATACAAACCCAGATAGAACGCTATATCCATAACCAAATCAGCAGATTCGAAACTAGCATATAAGAGTAATAACTCAGAATATCGATCAAAAACACTTACCCAGACATGTTTCTATGTGAATGCGATTACGACACAGGAGAGATTTCTTTTATCTGCCAAGAAACGAGCTCACAAATCGATACCTAAATCAAAACATCAACAAAAGCTCACACATAAGAAGAAAACTTCATAGAATCACATTTCTGAACACGAAAACGGAGTAATATCGCGAATTTCTAAACACGAAAACACAGTAACGTCGCCTAATCGGAGTTTTAAAATCGCCGGAGAAGAGAGTGAAGAAGAAGACTAACCTCAGATGGATCAATGGCTGCGTGAAGAAATGCTTATAGATTCGATTTATCGTTTTATTAAGAAACCAAAACCATAAACTCACTGATTACATTACTGGGCCTCAGTATTATGAACTAACGGGCCTTATATTAGGCCCAACAAATTCTTCTTTCTCGTTACATTTCTTGAAACGAAAACTGGATTTGAGTCATTTTGTTACAGACATAAACAGTTCAAATTGAGATGATTGTGAGTGAACCTAATTGTGAACAAGCATACTTGAATCTTGCACAAAATTCTTGTAAAATTATAGGAAAAAAAACAGAGAAAGAGAGATAGTTTTAAGGAATTTTTATTGATTTTCTTTCTAGAGAGCAACCTGACCATTTTCAACACCTAAACCATACAAAACACCAGAATATTTCTGCAACGGACCAATGAAGAAATTCTCCTTGAGCTTTCTGAAAGTACATGACGTGAGTAAACTATCCGAACCAGCTTGATGACATATCCCAACTCTTTCGACCTCGAGAAGCTCCGCGAGCTTGTTCAGACCACCGTGAAGGCTGTTGCAGAACTTCATCAGGTGTTTAATGTCGTACACCGTGGGAAAATAAACGTTGATCAGCTCGAAGAACCCTGTTTGCGTATCAGGCAGGTTTTGACAAGTGAGGAGCTTAAGCAAGTATCCGAAATCGTATCCACTGTGAAATGTAACCCAATGGACGTTTTCGTTAAGCACAATCCCTGATGACATTAAGAGCTCTGCGAATTTCTTCGAATCGATTCCGTCTTGAGTGTTTTTCGCAAAGTCGATTCCCGATTGTTTAAGCAAGTCGATGGAATCCGTGGCGAAAATGTCGGAATTGACATCGAATTCTCTGAAATTGAATTGCCAGATGCAATATTTCTCTGTTCCACAGGTTGGGAGGTTACCTTGTTCATTGGAGAAAGTGAGACCAAGCTGGATAATCTTGAGGATGTTGACGTTCGTTTTCAAGGTTTCGTAGTGGTAATCTGCGTTGGATTTAAAAGTTCCGACTGGTCGAACGACGATTCCTGGGAACTCAGTGTCCATAGCAACGTAAGGAAAATCGTCGACGACTTCTCGAATCAGATCCATCTCTTCTTTAAGGTTATAGTTCCATACTTCGCGGATTTGAATCGAATCATCTTTCAGAAACAAAGACATATCTCTTCTT